AAAAATTGTTTCCTGGCCTAGTTTTATGCTATAAAAGAAAAGACGTAGAACATATCAGTAGTTCAACAAAGTCTGTAAAAATTATTAGAACTATTCATTAGGCTATTTCTAAGTAATTCCACTAGACATATATATCCATAATTTATTATAGTATTGGAGTGATTTAAAGATATATGTAGAATTTAAAAAGTATTTCATCAGAGGGGACAATCAAAGAAAGAAATGACTGATATGTAAGAAGAAATGTACTCTTGTTACTTTCAATATTGAAACTTCTTGTGAATGAAAATTACTGAACTCCAGCTCTATGATTCAGAAATATAAGACACGTTGAGAGAGCTAAATGTATTCTGTTATATCTCTTGTAGGCTACTAAGTGAGCATTTCTGAAAAGTTCTAAGACACGATCAACTAATTTTCCAATTATATGTCTTTATGTATACGTCATAATAATGTTATGTAAAGATTCCGAAAATACAAATAAAATAAAATAAAATGCACTTGTTTCATATCTTACTTATGTATTTTGATTAATTTTAACTAGCCCAGATACCATGTGCATATTTTTCTTTGTAAAAATAGTACATACAATGGTTTGACTTCAGCTAGAAAACTATTGAAATCCAGAAAGGACTTAATAACTATTTTGTCGTAGTACAAAGATTCTAATCAGCATTTATTCATGACCCTTCCAGACACTGAACTTAGAACATTTAGACCTCATGGTAAGCATATTACTTTAATTTTAATCACTAGATCAATACATCTACATTTATATATTTAAGCAACCCCTGATATTATGCAACAATTACAAATTACCTTAGGTGTAAATCGTTTCACTTACTAACGGGAGTTTTAAGCTTTGAATTCTTAAGTCTGTTAACTTAATTTAAAACGTCTACCTCAATTATTTTATTGTAGTATATTTCTCGAATTCCTTTCAAAAGAGTAATGCTTGGATTGTTTTTGTCTGAAAAGCCATGTTTTTTTTAATATTTAACATGATTCCATTCAATTTACGTTTATTATAAGGTGCCAAAGGCTGGCCATGTTTCGTTCAGTAAATCATATTATTATTGACTTTATTCCATAATACTACAGTCTATAGTGTTTTTGTAATGAATTTAGGTCAAATTTCTGCTTTTGTCTATGAATTGTATTTATCATATAAACAATTCAAAATCTTTGAATAAACTATTAGTTTTATTTCTTAGATTCAGATGATGATTGAATTGAAGAGTAAATACCCGCAGATTTTAATAGTTTTCATTCATTACATATAAATGATAATTTCTAATATGAATTAGTTTTGAAAGTGAACTATTGTAAGTCTATCACAAAGACTATACAGTTGGTGCTTTTAAATTACTACTCGTAAATGAAATGCAATCTTTCATAAATTCTTCTCTAATAACAGTTTAACATTATCGTCAATTTACCATATTCACATGTATGTACGTAAACGTTTGTTTAAAAAAAGTCATGCTACATTGACAAAATTAGTATATCATGAGTCAATTGAAGCTAGACCATCATGGAAAACCTGAAAGCACTGGACGGCCGTTTCGTCCTATTGTGGGACTCCTTAACAGTGTGCATCCAAGATCCCGCTTGCAGAATCTTGAACCCAGGGCCTTCGGTCTCGCGCGCGAACACTTAACCTCTAGACCACTGAGCCAACATCCAACATAAACATTATATTCAAGATGAAAAACAAATCATATACAATAGAGTCTAAATGAAGACATCATCTTTCAATGTTATATATCAGGTGACAAGAAAATCATTTATTTGTCCTATAGATTTATTACATTTATTCACTGAAAAAACAGAAACTAATTTTGTGAAAATCTTATCTTTAAAAAGGATTTATGTACTAGTGACGTGATATTGTTTATCAGTTATTTTACAACTCAAATCTATAGTAATTAAACATGACTCTAAGTGTATATTACATTTAAATCGATTGATAATTGTGATTTCATTTTAATCAATCAAATTAAGAGGTGACGATATTAACATTGATGTTTTGACTAATTTAGTTACTGGTCACATCCATCAAGGTTCTTTATTCAACCTAAACATTACCAATGTAATATGTTTTCATTTCAAATTAATTGGTGAATTCACTTAATGGACGAGAATTTGAATTATTAATTTATGTTAGCAAATTACCAACAGACTCTTAGTTTAATAATCAATTAGGCTTTAAACGAATTATAACTATAGAGTTCAACCGGGTATGTTGTTAGCTAGTAACTTACTGAAGACGATGACGGATGTGTTGCTCAATTTCGTGGATTAGTTGAATTTAGACATTACCACTGTTAGATGCCAGCTCAAGGGTTTAGAGATTAAGCGTTCGCGCAAGAGACCTGAGTTCGAATCTCGCAAGGTGGGATCGTAGATGAGCATCGCTGAGGAGCCTCACAATAGGATGAAACGGCCGTCCAGTGCTTTCAGGTTTACCATGATGGTTTAGCTTCAACTAAATAATGGTCTCAACTATTGAGATTATTTTTATGTTAAATTTCTGGTAATATTTGTGTGTTATGATGGTGCATATAATTGACTGCTCCTGTTAGCCACTAACTTTGTGTTTTTTGGTACTTTTTTGTTTAAATTGCTTGGTCATTAATTCATTTTTCGTGAGTAGTTGTTACTTACACACATTCACATTATTTCAGCCGTGCTATATTTTTTCATTATGATATAAAACCTAACTAAAACCATAAGATTATTTCAAAAGTGATTGTAAGTTTTGGATTCATTTATAGTTTGTTTGTTTATTTGATCGTTTAATTATTGAAAAAAAATTAGGATACCGTTCATATGATATGTCGGGTTCTATAATACATACTAGAGTTATTTTGTAATGAATTTATTTCTATACTGACCATATGATCTCTACTGTCTACATTTCATAAAGTTTCTTATTCTTTCGGAGCTTTGATTTTTATACATCGGTGTCAAGTTGTCTTAAATTTTTTTTTTCAAATTTATTCATTTATTAGTGTCTACTGTGGTATGTTTCAATGGATTGGCAAGCGAAATAATTATGCTAATCAATGCGTTACTCTTGACTGATTCAATAACTGAAATTCTATAATTTCAAAAATAGAAGGTACAACACATATGCTTAAATTAGTAGTAAGTTCGCTTGTTTATCGATTATTTGGTTAAAAGGATACATAGAGATAATCATATGTAACAATAATAATAACAAAGGGAGTAAATATTGTTCTGGGAAATTACAAAATATGAACTTTGATTTACAACAAATGACTTGATTTTTGCATGTGATTTTAAAATAGATTTCGTCGCTACAATCGCATGCAGAGGTTGATTATGTCGGTAGATATACCATATGTCACTGATAAGCCTATATTTATATATATATAATTTAGATCATAATCATATTAAAAGTTATATATAATATTGCGTAATACCTAAAAATGTCATTGATTAAGTAAGAGATAATCCGTTTAGTTGAAACAGAAACAAGTAATTTAGTTCTCAACTTGCCATATTAAAGGACATAAGTCTAAAGATATTGGGCTCCGAATCCTCTATATCCCAAAATTAATAGTTATTAAATTTCTAAAAAGACCGGGACATATTATCTATTAGACGAATGTTGAACCAATACTACTGTCGTCAGTATTGATTTTATTATGACTCACCTTACCTATTGTGTATGATCACTTTTGTTAATGTATTTTTACAATTCGAACTTCTTCAATACAACTGGATTCTTAACACGCGCAAGCAAATAATTTACGCAACACTCACTACATTTCTGCTTATATTTCGCTTAATCTATATCATTATGTAATCAAACATAACAACATTTTCAGCAGTTATACACCATATCAGTTCCAGACGTTCATTATGCAATTCAGTGGTTTGTAACCTGATCCATTTATAAATTACATATAAGCCAATTCAATGAATTTCAATGATTGTTAGTCAGTTCATTTTACTAATAAATAAAAGTTCATATTCGGATTGATTCTTTCGATTGATAAATTAAGACTTTTAACTGTAGAACGTAGTGAGAATTTATTGAAAAGAACTTTTTCCTCCTTTAATCACATATGTGATTCAATATTATAAAAAAGTTTCATACAATAAATGTAATTAAGACGCGAAGTATGCAAAGAGTATTCAGCTCGGAGATGTTCTACGTAACGATCTGATTTTGGCTAAACAGCTATTAAAAACAGAAAAGTATTGACCAAAAATCAAACTAATGGGATATACAAGCACAACAAAGAAGTAAACAATGAGAGGTTTAAGGTCAACAAGAACCAATCATCAGCGAGGTGTACAGGACAAGCTGTGAACCTCATGTACAGAAATTCAAACACTTTACTCCTGCCTGAAGTTTATGCTGATGATGTTGTTCAGAAGAACGATGAAAACTCCACGACCAAGCCATCAAACTCAAAGAACAAAACCCCATCAAAAAGCACTGAATCAGTGTTTTGTTTTAGTCTGAAATTTATCAGCAGTGTCGAACTATGACATTATTAGTGATAGAAACCTTGATACTTAACTTGAAATTTCAAAAGTCTCAAGCTTTCTTCTCACCAAAACTAACATTGATATGGAATAAAACTTGAGTTTTTCTAGGTATATATATCTATAATCTATTCATTAATACAGAAACACAATGTTGTTTGACAATTATTTAAATCAGAGGGTGTTTTATGAAGATTGGAGTGATTTTATTAGTTGAAATCAATAGTCAACTGAAGCTAGACCACCATGAAAAACCTGGAAGCCACTAGACGGCCGTTTATTATTTAAATAACCAGTCATGAAAATAATATTCCTAACTTGTTTCTAAATAATTTTTTAATAAATTATCCTTCACATTATTATTATTATTGTGAATATCCAAATAATAAGAAATATACATAATAAAAAGCCGGGAAGAAGACATTTAATTGATTAATACTAATATTTTCTAATGTGGTATGTTTTTCATGACTTACTCGAATTCTTCGCATTGAAGATACAATTTCAAGACGATTCTGTGGTCTTGGTATATCCATACCACCAACAAACTAATATCAAAGAAAAAAAATCAAAAAAGACTATAAATCAAATGATACATAATGAATATATTTTGAAATGAAATTGTTGATAAGAATCTACATCAAGCATATAAAACCTAGATGGATAATTCGAATAATGTATTGAAAGAATGTCAATACAATTACCATCGAAATAAACTATTTCCAAATGATCATGAGATAGAGTAATATAACACTAGTAAGTAGTGAAACAGTCTGTAGTGTAAACTATTTTCAAACTGAACATTTTCTGCAAACCTATTTTGGTAATAATCATGTACTGAATAGTGACTAATTTCGAGATAAAGTCCTCTGATTCCACTGAGTTGCTACGACAGGTTGAGTTAAACCAGGTCGAACACATGGAAAGTATCAACAATGGTAATGAATTGAGTTAAATCGAAAGTATAACGTAATTGAGTTCGACTGTATGATTACGGAGAGACTTGATCGTTGATAACGTTATGTGTACACAATATTGATGAATCTAATATTTAAACAAAATAACTATTTATTACCCTTTGTTTTTCAATTATTTTCTGACCAAATTCAATTCCTGGTGTAAACCATTTTTAAATTAAGATAATATATAAATCTAAATTGGAACACATTAATTAAATAGAACTATGTGATACTTTTTTTCGATTGAAATCATAAACTGATTGATGTTAGACCACCGTTGGAAACCTGGAAGCACTGGACGGCTGTTTCGTCCTATCGTGGGACTCCTCAGCCATGCTCATCGACGATCCCGCTCACGGGATTCGAACGCAGGGTCTCCGGTCTCGCGCGCGAACGCTTAACCTACTGGACCACTGGGCCGGCAACCAATCCACGAAATTGCGCGACCATCTTCCATTCTACTGAGGTAGATACATGTCTCTATCCCACACGGATTAGCTCCACTGGTCACGGCTTCTCACTAAAACTCCGAGAATTCCCTCACGAGGCTAATCACTAGTGAGCACATGTTAATTATCAGTATAGTGGTTATGGAGATTATTCAAGCTATCAACTTTATATGGATTGATTTTGAAGGAATGTTAGGTTTTAATTAAAATTTGTCATTTATTATACATTTGATGAAAATCTTAGGTTTTTCGTTTACTATCCTAAAAATATTTAAACAAATTTGCTTATCATCAAAGATGGATAGTGGCTAACAGTGGAATCCAAGATGCGCGTTTCGTCTTATTCAAACAAACAATTTAAAAAAGTGAATTGAAATTTAATTATCGTTTCAACATAGTGATTAAACAATTATAGAATTTGGTTTGATATGTAGACTTGTTAAGAAACTAAGGACCAGGTTTATTAAGTTATAAGAAACTTATTTGAACTCTTAAAGAATCTTACTTAAATATTTGTTGTAATCTCATGGTATGTAATTTGTCCCTAATTCGTTATTTGTTCACACTTAATTCAGTGTCCAAATTAATAGAGAATAAAAAAGTACAACAGTTCTCTACACTTTGTCAAATATCCTGTGAAATTACTTAGAATATTCAAAAATCCTGCGTAAGTACATATTTATTCAGCGAATTGTGTATAGATTATTTTATATTAAATCTCCCTACAATCGATTTTAAAAATATTGAAGCAGTCAAAGAAAACGCTTACAGCTTTTAAAAATAGTTGATTGTCTGAAATATACCAAGAAGATTATCAAAGGTGATTACATAGACTTTCAAACGTGTTACCTTGGCAATATAAGTACCAACTGACATGGAACATAGGTCAGCCGCTTTTTGGCAATTCCTTCTAACCACCTCACATTAATATAAATTCTAATAGTTGTATTAACAACACTGGACGTGAAACAATAGCATTAGCAATTAGGTTATTTAAAATTTTACAGAACGATGTTTTTACATAAAGACAATGACATTTGTGACAAGGACACACCTATTTTCATGCTTTATATTTGTAGAATGCCCTAAATCATCATGAACTTACAAATTAAGTTTTTTTTTTAAATTTTGAGATAAATCTAACCATAGAGTGACTTCAACTGTTGAACCATAGTTATTTCATCCTAGTTTGTGATTCACTAGTTTATACTAACAGTCCCATCAGTAGTAGAACTCAAAATTGTCAAGTCAAAAGCCACATATGTCAACTTTCAATCACCAGGTCAGTATTCGAAGGATCATATTGCCAATTTTAAATAACCCGTGGTAGGGTACAAATACTATTCAGTATTGTTAGTGGTTGATTGTCTCACTTTTAACACAGCTGAGAACCAATTATTTTGACTATACATTTGAGAATTTAACTAGAAGTTAGTCACTAGTGGGCATACAGTTAATGTTTCTAGATTGTTGGCCGTGGAGATTAATAATAAGAAAATAAGTAAGGGCTACTACTGTCAGCAAGTTTAAAGAAGTTTATATCATTGATTAAGATCATATAAGAATGCTTGGTAAAAGGAGTGTGAACACAATTTGAGTCAGTAGCTATAATATATCATGGAAAAAGCAAAACAATATAGTACCAACAAGGTGGAATACAAGGCTTTTCAAGAAGAGATTAATATTCAACTTTACTGAGTTAAAAGTTTTGGACTCAAAACACATATTGTCAAGACATCTTAAGTGCTCCTGGTTTAAGTGTACTTATACGTGTAGTTAGTTTTCTTCACTCACTGACACTAGAAGAAAAACCAGTTATAACTAAGAAGCATAGTACAGTTGTTTCATCTTAGTCCGGATATTCCTAGTCAAACATACAAAAGAACACAAAATATTTGGATATAGCGATGAGCAAAATATCAATAAGTCATTAAATTGGAGTGCAGTGAACAGCAAAAATCCAACCTCAGTCGTTTTTTTTTGTCATAACTCAGTGACCACTTAACGTCTTTGAGAATACCTATCTCACCCTTGATTTAGTTGAATTTATCTAGACATAACTTTTTACTAGACCTACGAAAAACCTAGTTTTATACTAAACAACAGTGATCATAAAACTATTTTTAAATGTTCATAATTTGTAGTTTATCTCAATTTATTCATTTAAGAAACTAAGCGCATGGATTTGAAGAGATAAATACTAAGTTTACACTTCATGATGAATGTCAACATTGTAATATAAACACATACAAATAAAGAATAGAATAAAAAACCTACCATATACTTCACTTTTCATGACAATCTAGTAAGTGAACCATAATCTATCAAATGAATTATTCTTTATAATTTAACTAACTAAGTAACATATTATTGTATTGTTGGCAACTTTTTACACGGTAGATATAAGTAATCTATTATTCTATTTATGTCATCATATCGCTAAATCTTTAATTTGTCAAAAATGACACTTAGTTTTAGTTTAAAACATACTTTTTTTCATTTAAATGTTCAATATATAATAAAGAATAGTAATATAATACTACAATTATGATGTCATAATAGAAATATTTATTAACAGTGTCACAGTTTCCTTCTTTTTTTTCATTTACACCAGATATCATTACTTAAAAGAAGAAGAAGAAGAAGGAAAAAAAGAGAAAAACAAACGAAATGACGTCAAGATATTCAGTATTATAGTGTTCAATCTTCTTTCTTTTTTAATTTTTGAAAAAAAAAACATTTTTTTCATGATTCATTTAATTGCGTGTAAAAAGAAATTTTTTATTTTTCAAAGTAACAAGATGAATGATTAGATAGATACATAGATACAATTATTGATTTCAGTTAAATATTCATATTTTTTGGCTATAAAAACACCTTAGTAATTACAAGTTCTATTTCATTTAATATTAAATAAAGGCTATAACTGACTACTATAGAGCTAATTATTTATGTACTTTTCAAAGTTATTTATTATACTTTACTGGATAAAATAAAGAAGTTTTATGTTAATGAAAATGTCACATAATAAAGTTTAAACAATATTGATACTCTTATAATTCACTTTAAACAAACTTGGAAAAAAAAAAAGAAGAACGATTTTTTTCTAGCGCACCGAATTGAGTCACATGTTTCATAGAAAAAGAAAAAAAACACGACAACAACAACATTTAATTGACCATAATAATAATAAAACAAAAAGAAAATTACCTAAAATTGTATAAAGTTAATAAAGAAGTTAACTTTATGAAATAGCAAATATTGGAGAGAAAAAAACTTAGGATTATGATGATGATTACGCGCCAACTGTTGATTTAAATGAAACTTTACTAAATAAGATTCTTAAATTGTAGCTGTGGAAATGTATGATTTTAACATGTTTGTCTTCTTTTTATTTTACAAAGATTATAATCTCACTAATTTATGAATGAAAGGTATAAACAGTAATTTCCCTAGTTATCTTTCTATTATTATATCGTACCTTAAGAGACATATTTATTCAATTGATAAATAATTGGTTAAATGAATAAATTACCGTATGAAATACTACCTTGTTTGTTTTGTTTGTTTTTATTTAGCCTGAAGGAATAAATAAATTGTGATAAAATGGAATGCAAATGTTTTGATTCTTTATTATAATATAATACAATGTCTTTATCATTATAGAGGTTTGTGGAGATAATTGAATATTATTATTATGACTAACCGACCTAGATTCGAAATACATCGAAAATCAAGGAGAACAGAATATTTATTTCGTTCATGTATAGATCTATAACCTAATAGTAAAAGATCAAACAAAAGACCTTCAGTTTTGAACGTGAATACTTGATCTTTAAACCACTGAGCTGGAATTTATTGGCGTACATGTATAATTTTAAACAATCCACAACATTACGTGACCTTCTCTCATTTTCTATTGTGATTTTTATGACCAAAAGATTTCAAACATATTGGATGTGAAGCTGCTTTCCATTGAAGACATTGAAAATTAGTCGTTTAGCATCGTGGATTAATCGAAGTTAGACTTGTAGACTGCTGGATTTTAGCTCAGTGGTTTAGAGATTAAGGTCTTAGGTTCAGTCTTCGATAAGGAAGTGAGAGGAAAATAAATTCTAGTTTTCATTCAGTAAAATAGCT